GGGTGGGGGAGGGGAGAAGAGGTGTCTGTTTTATTCTTAGTGTTTTCAGTGCAATAAATAGCTATGAATTTATGTGACTCCTTGTCTTCTTGGACTGGCCAAGGCACAGAACTCTCGGAGATGTTTTTGTTTCAAGTCTCCCCTGCTGCAAAATGAAAGTCCTGGTCCGTCTTCAGATGGATTGGGATAACTTGGTTCACATGCTTAAGACCACATGCTTGCAACCTTAGGACCAAGGATGAAGTCTGCTTTCTTTCAGCATTTGGGGTAATCTTAACAAGAGTTAGGGGGCGGGTATAGATTGTCACGAGAACCTCCACAGTGAGAGTACAGGCCAAGGTTCACAAGAGCATGAGAACACACAAATATTGTCTCCTGTCTGCATTCATAGCCCCAGCACCTGGGCAGTGCAGAGGGACTTGAGAGCTTGCCTAGGCTGCCATTGAAGATTCTCACCACCAGGTGGCAGAACATGAGTGGGTTCCAGGCGTGTGTCATGGTTAATCTGGGCAATTCCAGTTGATCTCAAGAGAGCTTCTGAACTCTCAAATTAGAACTGTGTTTTTACCTCACAAGAGCATGCAACGCTACAGTTCATAGTGTGTTTTCACACCACTTGCCCTAGTTACAACAGTTTGGGGAAGCAAGGAAGACAGCAAGACTCAGAGCAGCTTGGGAAACCTGAACTAAAACTCACCCAACTTTTAGGTCCTCTAGGGATCCCCCATTCCTCTGTTCTGTGCCTTTCCAATTCTGGGCATCAGCAAATAATGAGTGGGGGTCTGAGAAGCTCCCCACCTTTTAACTCTCAGTCCTTTTTTAGCCTCATCTTTGTCTTCTCCTGTACTTTATACATTCTTGGTTAGGTCCCAGGCTCCCACAACACCTTCTATGTACCCCACCAATAGGCCTAAGCAAATGTCCCTAGATCCATGCACTCCTTGAAGTCAGGAGGGCAGCAAGTCCCCACTCAGGACACATGCAGTAGATATTGCCACTCTTGCATGAAGTCAATCTCGGCAAGCATGTGGCTGGGATTAAAGACGTGCACACATGACCAGTCACTCCACCAATTTGCGACAGCAATGGCTGTCACTTACTGGGGACTGACCAAGGCCACACATGTCCCATCTTTTTTACTTGGATGCTCTCAGTCCTCAGCACAGCCCTGTGATGGACCACACATGACTAAGGAGACTGTGCAGCTGAAGTGAAAGGGAAGCCACCCAATGAGGCTGGGGTTGGGGGGAGGTGAGTTGGACCCTGAACCACCGCAAATGCTGACTTTTCTGGGATGTGCTGGAGCCAGGCTGGGGTCTCAAGAAGACTTGCAAACAAGCTAGAAGTATTTCTTGTCTTCCAGGAAACCCTGACACTAGGTCAGACCACAAGAGCCAAGACTCAGGACAGGTTAGGTGGAGGCTGGACCCGGAGCTGGAGGAAAGAGGGGAGGTGTGACTTGAGGTTTGGAAGGCTGTGTGGAGACACTTCATGGGATGGATGGGAGGGAAGTCTAGACACAAGGCAGGGGCAACCTGGAAGCATGTGACTGTGGGAAGCAGGCTTAGGAGGAAGTTGTGGGGACCAGAAGTATGAGAGGGCTAAGGGAGCCCTGAACCTACTGCAATACTGTTATGCCATTTCAGGACATAGGCAGGTCCCTCAGCAGTGGGAAGAGCCTCTGCAGGCCTGGGGTGTAAATCCTTCAGAAAACACCCTGTAGTGGGTTCTGGGAGTGTTAGAGGCAGAACAGATACCAACTCACAGAACCCACTTAGATATAAGTATGTACCAGGCCCTACTCTCGGGGAGTAAGATCTGTAAGACTGAGCAGGGGCTCAGGCAGCAATGTTCTGACAAGCCCCTGGGTTGGGGGCTCTGCAGTGATTGCCCCTCCCAGTCTCCAATGTTGTGCTGGCTGCCCCAAGATGCCGTTATGGGATGACAGACCCATGACAGACTTCATCTTCTCTCATCTCTATCTCAGAAGAAGGATTTTGATGACAGGGCCCTCCCCTGCCTCAATTCCTGTGCCCCAAAGCTCTGTAGGACCCTGACTGTCGTCAGCAGAGTAAAGGCCAAGTCAAAGCATGGGCTCAGATTTTTTTCTTTTGAGAGAGGATCTCATGTAGCCTCTAACTTGTTTCATACCCAATGATCCTGACCTCTAACTTCCTGAGTGCTAGAATTACAGGCACAAACCACCACACCTCACTTTAGATGGCGTTCTGGTTTGAACTCAGAGCCTTATGCATGCTAGGCAAGTGCTCTACTTATGGACTACAGTCTACTTCCATTGACTTGGCAGGGTTATCCTGTCCAGTTTACTGGAAGACCATCTTTATGAACCTGGAAGAACCAGCTTCCCAATCATTTAGCCAGGCCTGGAGAAGGGATGACATTGCCTTCTCACCAGGCAAAGCCCATCTCTGGAGAAGGAAGTCCATGGCAGTGGTATTCAGCGAGGGTCTACAGGAGTAGATGGGGGCAGCCAGTTCCCTTTTGTTTATGTCTCCCCCAGCAGGAACCTTGGTAGAGAGTCCAGATTCCTATTCAACTTACTTGATTTACAGATGGGAACACTGAGGTCTGTTGTCACAGTACTAGCAAGTCCTGGGCCTGATGGCAGCTTGTCCAGGCTCTAGAATTGTGAGTCCCTAATCTCCTCCTCCCTGGGCTAATTGGAGTTGGAAGCTGAGACAGTTTATTGCCTGCATAATCTTCCCTAACAGGTCTCCATGCATTCAATTTTGTGTTAGGCACTTTGATAAGTTTTTTTTTTTTTTTTTCAAAGTGTGGTCTAGGGTCCTAACAGTATCACATTTAATATCTTGGAAAAACAAGGAACTCCATTTTACATCAGAGAGGCTTTGGGTTTAGAAACATGAAGTAGTGGAAAATGAGA